GCTGGCCGAGGGCGGTCTGCGTCCCTGGCTTTCCTCAGTGCGCGGTGTTGACACTGCGGTGTGTGTTTAGAACGCAGGCCCATCTAGTCCAGGCCAGCAGACAGTTGCAGGGCCATTGGGCCTGGATGGGAAACCAAGTCAGATGCTTGTTGGAAACGTCTGTCTTTCTTAGTCATCTTAGTGGTACTACATTTTCTAAGTATGTTCGATTATTTCAGTTTTGAGTTGTACCCAGCCCTTTCGTGGTTTGTAATTCACCATCTCTCCTGCCTAGCATATTCTTGAGGTGTGCTGACGTGCCCAAGACTGCATGGGTAGGAGCAGTTCTGTGCTGTTCGCCTACAGCTGACTTCATCCATTCTCTGCAGTTCAGTAATCTCAAAATCAAGCCTGTGAACGCTAGTTTCCTTTTGTTTCCAAGTGTTGAGAGGAAGCCTCACTTAAAGTCCTCCAGCTGACAAGTCCATTTAGTAGTTTGTGTAACTCAATTGGCCTGGTCGTGAGTAGTTTCCCTTGATCAGGAACGCATCCTGGAGTACCAGTTTGTTAAGAACGGTGGAATTCGAACGTTCAAAACCCTTGTGGATAATTGAAAGCAACAAAATGTGTATATTGGCATGAGTTAGCCATTGAATTTCAGCTTCTCATTACATAAGGAATTATTAATAAAGTTTGTTTATTGACAACCAAATTCAAGGCTGTAACATGTCTTACGTTAATGTTAATCCAGATTAACAGTTTGTGGGGAAGTGGGAAGTCTGCCTAGGACAGAGTTGGACTGCTGTCCGTGCTCTCTTTTTTAGTGTAACTTCAAGCTGACAGTGATAGCCGTGGATACAGGACTGGATTTTGTGGTTTGTTTTTTGGTTTGTTTTTTTGTTTTGTTTTGTTTTGTTTTGTTTTTCCCTAATAAGAAAGGTCCCATGTAGCCCAGGTTGGCTAGCCTCAACCTCACTGTGTAGCTGAAACTGGCCTTGAGCTCATGCCCACATTTCCCAGGTGCTCAGATTTCAGATAGGCACCACCACCTCTGCCTTAACATTTCTTAGCTGCTCTGAACTACTTCCCTTCTCCACTTTGCCAATGCTTTCCACTTGAAAGAGAGGGAAAGCTATCCATGACTTTAATAGAGAACTAGGAAGTTTGTTCCCCGTGGACTTTCTAGCGTGGACACGTAAACGTAATGATTACACAATTTTTAAGTCGCACTGGCACATGGCCTGTGTCAGCGATCGCAGTGTTGGGGAGGCAGATGGGAGTATCTCCAGCTCGTTCACCCTGCAGACCAATGAGACACCGCATCTCAAAAGTCGGGGATACAGCCGCTGGCGGGTGACAGCCAAAGCTGTCCTGTCCACGTGGGCACCATACCTGGGACTTGGCCACAGAGCTTGCAAGAAGAGTAAACAGAATGCAGTGACAGGCCAAATATGGTAGCGAATGCCTTTAATCCTGACTCAGGCAGAGGCCGGTGGATACCTTGAGCTCCATACCTTGGTATCACTTGGTAGATGCCAGGTCTACAAAGTGAGTCCCAGGACAGCCAGAGCTACATAGAAAAAATTCCTGTCTTGAAAATCCCAAGTGTAATAATGAAGTGTGTTTTTTGGTTTTTTGGTTTTGTTTTTGTTTTTGTTTTTTTTAGTATTACTGTCTGAAAAAGTAAACAGCTGGGTCTGGTGAAAGGGGCAAGAATTCTGGAGGAATGACATTATTGACAAGTGGAGGATAGACAGCTTTTCACACCATTAAAGGATGCAACCATGAGCTGGACTTCGGTCTTTGATTTATTTCAGTGAAATATCAGAATATAATGGATACCATTTCCAAACTGAATCCATGGGAGGTATGAGGGGCAGAGTTCCAACTTACATAAGACTGGATAGAAGTCTTAGTTCCTCTATATTGTGTAGCCTTGAATTGTGTGTGAATACACACCTGTGACAATCTTTCTCCCTGAACTCAGAGCTCAGCCATTGACTATACTGACTGGCCAGCGATCCGCTGTCATTCATCTTGCTTGCCTCAGCCCTGGGATTACAGGTTCATGCCACCTTGCTGGCTTTTTTCTGGTGCTGGGGATCCAAACTCCACTCCTCATGCTTGCAGAGCAAGCACCTTGCCCGTTGAGCCATTTTCCCAGCCCTGCCAAACTATTTTGAAGGTTTTTAGTCAAAAATTGTCCAGTATTCTACATCAGAAGTGGGGTAGACTTGTTAGCCAGTTTATTTAGCTGTAGTCTGTAACAATGAAAACATGTCTTGCTCCCCACTCGTTTCCCAGAGCTTTGACAGGCTTGAACAGAAGTTGTTAGCTGTTGCTAAATTTAAAATTCCAGATTTAAATGAGTTCTGGAGATGCCTTTAATAATTAAAAGATAATAAAGTCCAACTTTCACAAAAGTACTTTGTTACTGTTTGGTGATTGGTTTTGTTTTGTTTTGAGAGCAGATTCAGTATGTAGCTGGAGGGCTGGCCTGAGACCCGCTGTGTAGAGCAAGATGGCCTCAAAGTTGTAACCTCCCAAGTACTGAGAATATAGGTGTGTACCACCATGCCTGGTCAAATGTAGTTTGACTTTTGACAAAGCCTGATACTAGCGTAAGATAGACCTACATGAGGAGTGGGGAAGGGACAGGGTCTCATGTAGCCCAGGCTGGCCTTGAACTCACTAGATGTAAACGTTGAACTTCTGATTCTTCTGGGATTATAAGTACTCACCACTATGAGTGATTGTTAGCCAGTGTAGGCACACACTCTACCAGCTTACTGTCTGTGTGTATTTCCAGAGATTGGACCTAGGCAAGGCTCCTACCACCGAGCCCTGCACCTGCCCCAGTCCTGCACCCTCAGTTACTTTATTGTTGAGGCCTCCTGAGGCTTTTCTTTGTGGCTGTTTTAAGAGAATCAGAATCTATTTTTTAACAGTAGTAGCCTACCAGTGGAAAAGGGCTTATAATCCTAACAACTCTTAGTGGTGTTTGGAAATGAAAATACTTGTTGGGCGGTGGTGAACACATGCCTTTCCCAGCACTTGGGAGGCAGAGGCAGGTGGATTTCTGAAAGTTTTGAGGCCAGCCTGGTGTCCGGAGCGACTTCCAGGACAGCCAGGGCCACACAGAAAAATCCTGTCCCAACAGACCAGAAGAAAGAAGATACCGTGGGACGACCTCAAGCAGGTACCAGAATGCTGTGCTGAGCTCCCATGCTGTGCTGGCTCTCCCTGTGCGGGGCTAGTGCTTGTCATCCCTGGGTCTAAGCTTAGCTAGTTCTCCCTGTGAGTGTCACCTGACTCACCGACTCAGGAGCAACCCTCAGACCTTGGGCCTATGGACCTGCAGGGAAAGACCTGAGCATTCTGACCCAGGAGTTTGAAAGAAAACCAGCATGGCAGGCAAGTGCTGAGTCGAAGCTACTGGGAGGAGGGAGGTGGTGAAAGAAAAAGTCAGGCCTTAAAGTTGGGCCTGGAGGAGACAAGCAGCTGTCAAGGTGAAGTGGGCAGTTGTCCCAGGAGCTTCTGTGATTTGATAAGCACCATGACTAAGGCAACTTGGGAGGACAGTTTGTTTCAGCCTACACTACTGTATCACAGTCCTCCAAGGGAAGTCAGAACAGGAGCAGACGGGCAAGAACCTGGAGGCAGGGGTTGACGCAGGGGCCGTCTAGGAACTCTGCTTACTCGCTTGCTCACCAAGGCTTGCTCAGCCTGCTTTCTTAGAACACCTTGGACCACCTCTGCTGGGGTGGCCCCACCCACAATCGGAAGAGCCTTCCCACATGAGTCACTAAGAAAACGCATTACAGACGTGACTACAGACCATTCTTACGAAGGCGTTGTCTCAGCTGAGGTCAGGTGATTCTAACTTGTATCTAACTAGCCCGTACAGGGTCATCATGGAAAGTGTATTAATAAAAATACAAACTGGGTTGTGATGTCATAGCCTTTAATCCAAGTACTGGGTGACAAAGGCAGGTAAATCTCTGAGTTCAAAGCCAGCCTGGTCTACAGACTGAGTTCTAGGTAGAACAGCCAGGACCACACAGAGAAACCCTGTGTCAGAAATAAACAACAACAAAAAAAAAAAACACAGAAGCAAAGGAAAAAAATCAGTGTTTTTTAAATATTGGTCTTTAACCTATGTAAAAGTGCTCTTTAGTTCTGAGCCATCTCTCCAGCCCTGAAGTTACTTTTTTTTTTTTTTCCTTAACTAGAACTCAAGGGCAGGCAGGCAGGCAGGCAGGCTTAGCAGTGAAGATCCATAAGCAGCTGCCCACCTTTTCAAGACTTCTTCGTTCAGTGGTGAAAGAGTGGAAGACCTCAGCTCCTCCTGTCACATGTCCTAAGGTTTCTGGAATCTAGGGTTATCACGAGATTCCTGGGAAAACCCCAAGTTCTTGCGATCCATCACTCCAGTGTGTATGTCTGCATACATAAACATATTTCTGCCAGGTTGGTTGGTTACATCATCATAGCAATCCCTGCGATCTTTTACCCTCCCCTCCTCACTTCCTGTAGACTTCTTTTGCAAGAATTAAGTCATGCGTGGCTGAGAAGATGGTTAAAGTCCCTGCTGCAAAGCTTGAGGATCTAAAGTCAGTCCCAACACCTGTGCTGAAAACCACCGTGGAGGAGCTGGAGGGCAAAGGAACTGGGCATGGTTCCTTACATCCACATCAGGTGGCTCTCAGCTGCCCGGAGCTCTCAGCTGCCCAGTTTCAGGGCATCTGACATCTTCTGGCCTCTACAGACACCTGCAGTCACACAGTGTACATACATGCACTCAGGCACACATAAATCTCCACTAGGGAGGTGGAGACAGGAGGAACCCTGGGGCTTGCTGGCCAGCCGGCCTAGCCAAAGAGTCCAATGAGAAACTGTCTAAAAAAGTAAAGTGGACAGCAACAGAGGAAAACACCAGATGTCAAACTCTGATTTACACCTGTGTGCACACATAAGCACACACACAAAGAAATAAGCAACCAGGCAAAACGTGTGTGCGATTTATTTTAAACTGCTACAATAACTAAGCTGGGTGCGGTGATGCACACCTTCAATCCCAGCACTCTGAGGTAGAGGCAGGCAGATCTCTGTGAGTTCGAGGCTAGCCCGGTCTACAGAGTGAGTTCCAGTCCACCCAGAGCTACATAGTGAGACTCCGACTCAAAACAATTAATAAAAGTCTATAAATCAGTCTTGGTCAGTTAAAACTGTAAACACTGGAACGGGGGCTTTTGGTGTTTTTAATATTATTATGAAATTCTTCTTCTCATGCACATAGGTAGTCATGCCTGAAATTTAAGGTCAGTAAGTAACTAAAGCTTTCCAGGAATGCTGCAGGATCTGGTTAAATCGAGCTAGGTTGAAATTACGGTAGGAAAACAAGTCCCTTAACCATCATTCCCTACAGCAAAGCAGAGGTGGGCTCACTGGCTTCTCTTCAGGAATGAGTGTGTCAGGAGCTGGAGCGCAGAAGGTCTCTCATGCTGGTCCCTAGAGGGAGAAACCAGATTAGAAACAGCACTGGCCCGTGACCACTACCAAGACCTGCCTGACTCGGCTGCGGGTTGTGAAGATGGAGACACGGGCTGAAGAGACAGTTCAGCTCCATAATTAAAATCGCCTGTTGCTCTTGCAGAGGGCTATACTTCAGTCCTGGTACCCGTGTTGGGTGGCTCACAGCTGTCTGTGGCTCCAACACTGGGAGATCGGATGCCCTCCTCCAGTCTCCTCAGGCTTCCGTGCACGTGGCATAGACACGCAACGAATGAATGAATTAACTAATTAAAGATGGTGGCACAACCGCTGATAGTCAGGTGGACTGTCTTGAGCCCCAACGGCAGTTTTTAGTTATAACATCAAGCAAGTGACCCAAGCTTGGCTCACTGGTGCGGTGAGGGTCAACAGCACCTATAGACTGGGGAGGACCTGGAACTGTGCAAGATTGGCAGTGCGCCCCTGCAAGCCAGGATTTAGGCGACGCAAGAATATCAGAAACTGAAGGGTATCCTTGGCTAATCATGGAATTGGAGAGCTGGAGACCCTCATGGGCTACATAAGATCTTATCTCAATTACTTTTAATTTTTAAAAAAGCCCTAATTTATTGGAAGGATTAAAAAATATCTTTCTTTTAGGGGTGGGGTGGGGTTGGTTTGGTTTGGTTTTGGTTTTTCAAGACTGGGTTTCTTTGTGTGGCCCTGGCTGGCTGGGAACTCACTCTGAAGACCAGGCTGGCCTAGAACTCAAAGAGATCCACCTGCCTCTGCCTCCTGAGTGCTGGGATTAAAGGCATGCGCCACCATTGCCCAGCTAGTATCTAGTTTTAAAAAATAAAACAACAACTTGTGTTAGCTTTTTAGATTAAAAACAAGGCCCTACCGTTTGTTTTTTATCTTGGTCATTTTGAGACAGGAATTTTTTCAGGTAGCCCAGGTTAGCATGCAATTCACTGTGTAGCGCTGGCTGACTTTGTATCTATAATCCCCCGGCCTCAGCCTCCTGAGTGCTGAGATTACAGGCATATTCTACCACATTTATCTAGTTAGGCCCCACCTTTCCAGCATTATTCAGTCTGTTTAGAATATAATTACATATGGTTAAAATTTCATACCTTCTGGGGTACCAAGCATTAAGTGTTTTTGTTAGCATTAAGCACACTTTTAAAATTTGAGCCAGCAGGAAGATGCTCAACGCTAAAGGCACTTGCTAAGCTGAGTCCAATCCCCAGAACTCACACGCTGGAAGGAGAAAACCAGCTCTCGTAAGCTGTCCTTTGACCTCCAGCCATGTGCTGTCCTGTATGTGCATGCCCCCCAACACAAATACATGTAATAAGACTTTCCAAGAATTCAGACTTTAAACTGGCAGTGGTGGCGCATGTCTTTAATCCCAGCACTCGGGAGGCAGAGGCAGGCCAGTCTGTGAGTTTGAGGCCAGCCTGGTCTACAGAGATAGTTTCTAGGACAGCCAAGGCTATGCAGAAAAACCCTGTCTGAAAAACAAAAACAAAGAATGCAAAACAACAACAAAACCCAACAAAAACAAAAGAATTCAGAGCTTAAAAGACTGTTATAAGTGGGTATTTATATTGTTTGGATGTATCTGTTTGTTGAGACAGGATTCCATGTATCCCATGCTGGCCTTGAACTCCTGATCCTTCTACCTCCACCTTCTGAGTGCTGAGGCTACAGCCGTCTAACACGCCCTGTTTAGGCAGTGATGGAGACTGAACCAGGGCTTTGAGCATCCTGAACAAACACTCCAGCCCCTGACACAGAACTCTGAATGGGCCATACAGTATTAAAGGAATAGCTGCTTCTGCTCTCTAGGCATCTCCTCTTTCTTTGACTTTCTTACCTGGTCAGGCACAAGCGCACAAAGTCCGCAGCAGCTTCTGAGAATCGGTCAGGTAGAGGAGGCATTAGGCCTCTGTGGGCTCCAATGTAAAACATGGCTGCCATCCTATCCATGGAAGCCAGAGGAGGCTTTCCTGTGGCCATCTCAAACACGGTGCAGCCAATGCTCCATATATCTGATTTCCTTCCATAGCCAGATTCATTGATGACCTCAGGAGCCATCCAGTATGGAGTCCCACGCATGGACGTCAGCATGTCACTGTGAGTACCGTTTAAGCCTGCCCAGGCCAAACGCTTGGCACAGCCAAAGTCAATCAGCTTTATTATTCCAGTTGGCATGAGCATGATGTTGTTCCCTTTGATATCCCGGTGCACCACACAGTTCTCGTGGAGATAAGCGATGCCCTGCAGAATCTGCCTTGTGTATTTACAGAACACCGTCTCGGGCAGTGGCCCGAAGCGGTTTAGAATGCTAGAGATGGAGCCCCCGGGGACAAACTCCATGAAGATGCTCAGGGTGTTCTCCTCCAGGCACGTCCCCAGATAAGCCACGATGTTTACATGCTTCAGCGCCCTCAGCAGATCCACTTCCTCCTGCAGTTTCCGGTATTCTTTCTCAGTAGCCAATTTATCAGAAGTATCCAGGGCCACCTGCTTCACAGCTACTAGCTGCCCTAGGCTAGTAAGCCCACAATATACCTAAACAAGCCAATACATACTATTAAACTTAGGCTAGAAATGGCATGTTCAAAGCACCTTTTCTTCACTTCCTGAACACTTTTTTCCTCTAAGTCGATCCATCCGCAACTGAATGACACACAATAAAGCAAACCCTTGCATTCAAGGGAGCCACGGTGGCGATGAGCAAGCCTGATGAGTAGATGACATGTTGAATTTCAGTCACATTAGATCGACACGGACTGGCTTCATCATTCCCCGGCCACCACGTGTTTTTAGATGAATTGTGGTATTTGTTTTAAAGCTGGACATCTTGGCACGTGCCTTTCTCTGAGCACACGGGAGGCAGAAGTAGGCGATCTCGTTCAGATCGAGCACACCTGGTCTGCACGGTCCCAGGTGAGCAGGGCTGTAGGGCTGAGATGACAGCTGCCCGCTACAGCCCTAGTCTCCACAAGGGCACTAAGGGTCGCACTCAGGTCCTCCAGCCTATGCAAGTACTTCCTGAACTGAGCCATCCTGCCCGCCCCCTTTTATGAGCTTTTATTATTTTCTCTTATCTATAAAACTGACGCAACACTTGCCTCATATTTCTCTGATACCGATCTGGGAAAACCCCTCACCAAAAGAACGCAACGGGGCCAAGTCAGATCTAAAGCGCTCCAGAAAGAGGAGGCAGGGGCTGCCAATCACCCGTGGTGTGCTCTGGAGTTTGTGTTTTGTCTTACCTTCTTGTGACTTCTTCAAGCGTCCTTAACTAGAGACTCCTTAAGTCTTAAAGGCTCCGGTCTGTCTCAAGGCTGGTCTTTTTGGAACAGTGTTGCTCTGTGTGTAACCCTTATCCTGGAACTAGCTCTGTAGACCAGGCTGGTCTAGAACTCAGAGATCCTCCTGCTTCTGCCTCCTGAGTGTGGGGATTAAAAGCCTGCACCACCACTGCCCAGGCAAGGTCAGTCTTTTCTTCACCTGTCTACTCAAATACTTTTTGGACCCTCAAAACTTTAGGGGGTCATTTATGCAATTCACAAGACACAAAGAACAGTATTTGAGTTTGCCACTCCCCCCACCCTACCGCCGTGTAGTAAGCGTCCACGTTTCCAGTGCGATGCTGAGCCCCTGGAGGGGAAGATTTCCTTCCCGACGGGCTCATGATGATGGTTAGTATGGACTGTCAACTTGACAGAATCTAGAAGGCACGCATCTGGGCATGTCTGTGAGAGAATTTCCAAATTAACTGAGGTAAATGTGGCTGGAGCCGTTGCATGAGCTGGGGTCCTGGGCTGAGTGAAAGCAGGGAAAGTGAGCTGAGCATAGCCTCCATCTCCCTGCTTCTTGGCTGTGGCTGCCCTACACTCCTGCTGCTGTAAGGTCCTAAGCCCTCAAACTGTGAGCCAGAATAAGCCATTGTTTCTGTAAGTGCTTTGTCAGGTGTGTTATGGAAGCGATCAGAAAAGTAGCTAGAGCAGAGCATGAGCCTGGAGTGATGAGAGGGAGGAAGTACTGTAAGACCTGGGGTCTCACAGCTCAGGAGTTCAAGATCTCGCCCTTCCCAGAAACTCCCCCAGACCAAGACTCGTTGCAAAAGCAAGAGGTTTATTAACCGTTGCGCAATGGGGTCACCCCTGCTGGTCAGCAAAGAGTGGCACCGGGAGACAAAGGCCTTTAGGTTTTTAAAAGAAAAATTGCGGGAGATTTGAAGTTGCAGTTCTGGCAATTTAGGATTGGATGAGGAAGCTATAAAGTAAGATAATTGGTTAGTCTTAGGTGCTCAAGCTTGGCCAGTCCTGCCAAGTGTGGATGCAGCTGCAATTGAAGGTGGGGGTGCTTAGCTCATCCTTGAAGATTAGGGGCTGCGGACTTTTGGCTGGAGGTCAAAAGCTACTCAGAAGAAGTCTGGGTTCGTTGCTAAGAAATGCTATCTCAAAGACAGGAGTTTTTCTTCTTGCTGAGTGAAGGTCATTGCTTGCTTGCCTTTTTTTCTATCTGTCCTCATAGATAGGGTCACATTTTTCCATTCTCTGGAAAGGTACTAAGAGGCTTTATCTTAACCTGAACCTAAAACTCAAAACTATAGGCTTTAGAAGACATACAGGTTACAAAGTTAGTCTACCCCTTTCAGTACAATGGGTCACTGCCTGAGAGCAGGAAGCCAGGGGACCCTGGGAGACAGAGACCCTGAGGAAGTGGTTAAGTCTCTAACACTACGTGCGCAACATCAAATCGTCCCCCGCAAACGCACAAATCAAGAAACAAGCTTGGCTTTTCCTGTGCCTTCCAGCTGACAACGTTCTAAGTACAGGCAGTAGGGAAGAAAGGGCTCAGGACAGGTTGAGGATTCTAGCATCGCGGGGTTCAAGGCTGACTTACTGTGCCATAGGCTCCTCTCCCAAGGATTTCACCCTTGGTCCAGAATATAGCCTCTTCGTGTTTTAAACTCCTGTCAGAAAGTGCCTTTTTTTCGTTTGAGGTAAGCCAATTTTCTTCCTTGTCATATATCCTCAATCCATTAATATACCTCTGGGGAAATGAGGAAAAAAATCATCATTAAACTCTGATTTGTTGTGGAGATAGAGAACACAAGGGATCTGCCTCCTCTTCCTCCTCCCTCTCTACTTCCTCCTCCTTTTTTGCAACAAGGTATCAGGTAGCCCAGGCTGGCCTCTAACTTACTATGAAACCAAGGATGACATAAAACTTCTGACCCTACTGCCTTTATGCCCCAAGTACTGATTATAATGTGCCACCACACCTGCATGCAGCCTGGAACACCTGCATGCAGCCCGGAACACCTGCAAGCATGCAGCCCGGAACACCTGCAAACATGCATCCCAGAACACCTGCATGCAGCCCGGAACACCTGCAAGCATGCAGCCCAGAACACCTGCAAACATGCAGCCCGGAACACCTGCATGCATGCAGCCCGGAACACCTGCATGCAGCCTGGAACACCTGCAAACATGCAGCCCAGAACACCTGCATGCAGCCCGGAACACCTGCATGCATGCAGCCCGGAACACCTGCAAGCATGCAGCCCGGAACACCTGCAAACATGCAGCCCGGAACACCTGCATGCATGCAGCCCGGAACACCTGCATGCATGCAGCCCGGAACACCTGCATGCATTCAGCCCGGAACACCTGCAAGCATGCAGCCCGGAACACCTGCATGCAGCCTGGAACACCGCAGCCCGGAACACCTGCAAACATGCAGCCCGGAACACCTCAGCCCGGAACACCTGCAAACATGCAGCCCGGAACACCTGCATGCATGCAGCCCAGAACACCTGCATGCAGCCCAGAACACCAATCCTGATGATCTAAGTAAGATCCCAGGAGCTGAAATGGTGGAAGGAGAGAGGATACCCAAAATGTGTCCTCTGACCTCTACCCATGTGGCATGTCACATGTGACTCTCTCTCCCTCCCTCCCTCTCTCTCTCTCTCTCACTCTATCTCCATGAAATTAAAAATAAGGGTTTGTAACCCAGATTGTCTCTAAGGTCCCTCCCATCCCAATGCACCTCTGGTTCTAATCAGACCAACCTGTACTTTGGCATTTGTTGTCTGTCTGTCCAATTCTTCGGTGGTATTACCTCTCCTACTGAAGACAAGATTCAGGTTTTCGGCATCTGCCTCATTTGTCATTATTTGGCAAGAGCTGCTGTCTTTCTCATCAAGGGCTAATAGTTCTTCAACTAGACAACCTAGTAACTCATCTGTCAATTCTTCATTCTTTCCTGGGTCTAGGGTTTCTTGAGAAAGCTTTCCAAATGTTTGATATGTGACGGAGTTCTTTTCTAAGCTGTCCTGATCCAAAGAACGTGCCCAGTCTTGTTCTGTAGGGGAAGGTGCACATTCTGGATTCTCCTGGAAAGAGAAATTTGAAAAGCTCAGGGGTGTTTTCCACTCCTCTGAGAGGCTGTCGAACTCCATGAACATTTGGTCAGCATTTATTTTGTCGAGAGGCTCTCCATCCTCCTTTTCTGGTGACATGCGCCTGCCTGCGCTCTTGTCGCTGAACACAGCCCAGCTGTCTTCTGAGGAGACGAGCAGGGTCTGCCGGGGCAGCCCTTTAGGCTCCGTCAGGTCTCCAAGGCTCTGGGTAAGCCCGTCCTTGTTAAGGATGCCTGCTTCGTCAGCACACTCCCCTGTGAAGATTTCCTCAACAACGGAGAGATCTGAGACAGGAGGGGGCTCTTTCTGTTCAGGGGAGTGCTCGGGGATCGGGGTCAAGTTTGTGAGTCGGACTTCATCTTTGGGAGACAGACAGTCATTTCCTGAAGCTCTCATCTGCCAGTCTGGTTCTGAAACACCATCCTCTCTGTGACTACCCATCACCTTGCAACCCCTTTCTTTAGACATTAAACCCCTGTGCTTCTGCCTGAGACCAAGGAAAGGCTTTGGGGGTTTGACGGGTGGTCGCTTCTGAAGAAGTCTCACTCTGCCACTGCTGCTTCTGTCACTTTGGGAAGACTGACACTTATTAACAGCACCTCGGGCCGATGCAGCTGTGCGCGCCTCGCGGTTATATCTGTGTTCCCGCCGTTCAGCCTCCCGAATGTGACTATAAACAGGAGTCCCAAACATCTCGTAGATGCCTGGTCCATTGGAAGCCGAATTGATTTCCTTAAACATGTCACTATACTTCAAATCCAGGAAATGCAGTCTTGGGTCTGTTGTTTCAGCTGAGAGGGGAGCACCTGGCTTTTTGATGCCCGAGTTTTTACCGATTCGAGGAAATGCTTGCTTTTTAGGTTTCTGGGTCTGATAGGTTGACTTCTTTTTCTCTGTCACAGGTGCTCTCCTTTGAAACTTGGGAGACAGATGTGGTCGGGGGTCCACAAGTTCCAAAGCAGGGAAAACTTGAGATTTTATGCTGTTTTTATGCATGCTGGGTTTAATGGAAGCTTGGGTGGAGACTGTGAGATGAGGAGGAGGCCTGTTTCTGGCCTTGGTCTTTGCATCCAACTTGGTGCTATGAGTATTTGTGTGGAGTTGATCGTGTTGTTGTTGAGCAAGTATGTTGAGACTATTGCTGCTCTGAACTGGGTGCTTTCTCTTTTGGAGGTTTGGCTTGGCTCTGGTTGGTGCCTTGGCTGTCCCTTCTCCAGGGAATGTGATATGGATAAACGGCACCACCCCATTCATTCCTGGTTTGGTTGTTTCCTCCACTGATATTTTTCTGTTTCGTTCTGTGTCTCTGTGACTGTGAGCTTCCAGGAGCTCTTCAGCGGAGCCACCTGAGTTCATGCTGGGCGTGTTCTTAAGAATACTGGCCTTCTCCAACACCCTGCATGGCTCCACTGCTCCAGCTTTGTATACAGCATTGCTTCTGGAATCAGGAACTTTCTCATTTGGGGTCTCTTCCTCCTCAACCGGGGCGATTTCTGAACTCGAGGCTTCCTGGAGCTTGCTGAGAATGGGGTGCTCAACCTCTGAGTCTTGCTCAAACGCTCTGGCTGTTGAACCCTCTTTTTTTCTTGATGGAAGATATTGGGAGTTCTCGCCCCCTTTCCTCATTTCACTATCATGGTGCTCACTATCCCTTTCTCTCTCTGTGTAAATATTGTCTTCCTTGACACTCTCATAGGAAACCAAGGATGGCCCTTCTTCAAAGCAAGAGGTTTCAGTTTTGTCCCGTCCCTCCATTTCCTGGGATGGCCAACTCTCTGCCACTCCCCCCTGTCTTCTGGGATGGTTTGCCTTCCGGAAAGAGCACATGTTTCTAGACCAAATGGCACTGTCAGAAAGCCTGTGGGTCTGTTCTGCTGGTCCTTCCCCTGAGACTTCTAGACGGGTCTTTGATGAACTAAACTCAGCTGATTGGCTAAGAGGCTCCAGGAGCTTATGGGCAGAGAGAGAGGGGCCCGAGACTTTTCTCTCCCTATGTCCTGGGAACTTGTGATTTTTTTCCATATCGAGGACACAAGATCTCATGGGCAAGACTGAGAGTGGAGGCAGAGGGAGCTACAAGAGAGAGAAAACAATGAATGCAGGGAATATCTAAGCACCATAATTCACTGTTTTTCCATTTGTTTTTCTTTCTTTTCTTTTTTTTTTTTTTTTTTTTTTTTTTTTTTGTTTGGTTGGTTTGGTTTTTTAAGACAGGATTTCTCTGTGTAGCCTTGGCTGGCCTGGAAATCGCTCTGTAGACCAGGCATCTGGTCCACCTGCTGCAGAGATCCACCTGCCTCTGCCTGCAGAGCGCTTCTGGGGATTGTGGTGATGTGAATAGAAATGGATCCCAATAGACTCGCATTTGAATGCTTGCCCCACAGGGAATGGCACTATTAGGAGGTGTGGCCTGTGTGTCACTGGGGGGCGGGCTCTGAGGTCTTATATGCTCAAGTTATGCCCAGTGTTGCTCACAGTCCTCTTCTGCTGCCTGAAGATCAAGCACTTTCTCCAGAACCATGTCTGTCTGTGTGCCTCCACATTTCCTGCCATGATAACAGACTAAACCTCCGTGAGCCAGCCAACCAAATCTTTCCCTTTGTGAGAGCTGCAGGGTCATAGCGTCTCTTTACAGCAATAAAAACCCTAACTAAGACAGAGCTCAAACCCAGGGCCTGTGCATACTGGGAAAGTGCTCTACCACTCAGCCACTTCAGTATGTCAACGGGCCTGAAAGATCACAATTTTTAAAACCCAAATAGGGGATTGGAGATGAAGCTCAGTTAGTGCAGTGCTTGTCTGGTATGCACAAGGCCCTGCTTTGATCTCCAGCATCAGGGAAGCTGGGTACCATGTATACACCTGTAACCCCAATGCTGAGGGGGGTGGAGGCAGGAGAAGTGTAAGTCATAGACTGGGCAAGAGATCTTGCCAATAAATAAATGCATACATACATACATACACATATACACACATACATACATATAGAAATAAGATAAAAACATAAATCAGTACCAGCAAGATGGCTCAGTAGGAAAAGGCATCTGCCACCAAGCCAAAGTTTGGTCCCCAGGACCCACATGGTAGAAAGAGAGAGCTGACTTCCCCAAATTCCCTCTGATTTCTACATGCACATAGTCTCTTTCTCTCACGAAATCAGTATGTTAAATAAATCTCAAAACTTGGTATAATATATCTTTAGCATACATGAAGCTTTAGGTTGGATTTTCCAGCACCAAAAATGGGGCAGGGCAGAGAAACAACAGGGATTAACTAAAATCCCATTCATGCTTTTTCAGAACCAAGGTTAAGCAACTTTTAAAAGACGTGATTAGGTGTTGTGGCAGTGGCTCAGAAATTAGGAGTGCGGATTAGGCTTGCAGAGGACCTAAGTTTGGCTCCCACCATGCATGCTGGGTGGCTCACAGCTGCCTGTAAACCCAGCTCCAGGGAGCCGGATGCCGCTGGCCTTCTTAGCATTGGCATGCACACAGCATACATACCCGGACATTCACATGTACAAATAATTTAACGAATAAGTCTTTCTTAAAGGTAAAATTGGCTGAGATGCTCAGTGGTTGCAGCGCCCACAGAGCGGCTCCCAGTCTGGAATTGTCATCCCAAGGACCTGACATCCTCTTCTGGCTTCCACGGCCACAAGCATGCTCATGGCACACATGTGCATTCAGACAAACACCCATGCTCATCACATGCTTAAGAAATAAAAAACCTAAAATTTATATATGTCAAAACTCATGGTTATATATAGTATTTCTTTCATTCTTTCTTTTGGTTTGGTTTTTCTTTTCTTTGGTTTTTTGAGAGAAGGTTTCTCTGTGCAGCCTGAGCTGTCCTGGAACTCACTCTGTAGACCAGGCTGGCCTTGAACTCAGAGCTCCACCTGCTTCTTCATTCCAAGCGATGGGATTAAAGTGTGGGCCATCATGTTAAGATGAGAAATATTTTCTCTCTCCTTTTTAGTTTCCATAGGATCGATCAAGATGTTTAAGCCCCTCTTGAGAACAATTTGAACATGTTGTCATACTTTAATTGTCCTTCCGGCACTGAGGAGCTCAGCTGGGGATGGACTTGGGAACTTAGCAGCCCTAAGGACTTGGAGCGCTCACTTGCTACTGTGTGCCTGGAATGCAGAAGGGCCTGGGTTCAGTCCCAGCCACCCACAAACATGTGGTAGCGCACACCATGTCCCCAGGACTCTGGAGGTGGAGCCCAAAGGACCAGGAGCTCAAGGTCATCCTCAGCTACAGAGCCAGCTTGAGGCCAGTCTGAGCTGCATGACAATCTCAAAGCAAACAAGCAGAAAGCAAGAAAAACCTTAATCGCTTTTTAAAAAGATTTCTTTAATGTATGTGGAGCCGGTTGGTTGTTGGATTGCCTGGCACTGGAGCTACAGATGGTTGTGGGCTACCATATGTATACTAAAGAGCGAACCCAGGTCCTCAGGGTAACAAGGCTTAGGCACTAAGCCATCACTCCAGACTCCTCAACAATTTTTCATTCTCCTTTGTCCTCCAACTGTTTCAAACTCAGCAAGTTTTAATTATTACTAACCTCTAGGGGGCAGCGTAATGCAAAGTATGGCATCAACTTTGCGTCCGTTAAATTATAAAGTCCTTAAGTGGCTGGCCTTTTTTTTTCTCCTTGTGGCCTTTTTCTCTTGTATACAAACTCTGCACCTAATTATATAAGATTATTCATAGACATGATTTATGCATAATGACAGAGCTATAATTTGACTTTGCAGTTGCCTGCCAGTGCAAGTAGGAAGGAAAAAAAATACAGATACTAGAAACTCAGGTGTTAAGGGATACATATATCCCTCAGTTTTATTACCTGAATTTTTTTCACATTTCTCAAAAGTGGGAAATGAGGAATGAGGAGGTGGCTCAGTCCGTAAAGGGCTTGCCTTGCAAGTGCAAACACCCAAGTTCGGCCTCCAACCCGCACATTTAAGCGCCAGGCGTGGTGCAGCAAGTTTGGAAGCCCAGCATTGGGGAAGTGAAACTAGCAGATCCCGGAGTCTGCTGGACGATTAGCCCAGGGCGACTGGCCAGTGAAAGACTCAAAAAGCAAGGTGGACGATGCCTGGGAAACAAGTGCACAGCTGTCACTCGTGTGCTGCACAGGTGTGGACAGGTGTCACCCACGTGCTGCACAGGTGAGCACAGTGTTTCTATGTCTCTAGGACACTGAAGGCCAAGAGCACTGAGAAAACTGAAAAATGGCGAGCATCTTTGCAGAAGCTTTGCGTTTAAAGTACAGAACAGGAAAATTCTCTGCCGTGGGGGTAGGAGTTGAACAGCAAAGAATTACCTGGGATTTGAACAAATATAAGAAATGAGTACTGTGATGACCCACGCCGTTAGTCCCAGCACTCAGGAGGCAGAGGCAGGCAGATCCCGGTCTATGTGAGTTAAAGGCCAGCCAGGGCTGCAGAGCGAGGCCCTGTCCTCAAAACTTAAATATATACATAAACAAAGAAACAGACAAAGAAAAAGAGGTACATGGAGAAAAACTAAACAAAAACTAAGAATGCTGTTCATCTCACTACCCTGGGGCCAGGAGACTGCCCACAGAAGCAACTCACAGGGCAAGGAGTGATTTTTCCCATGAATAATTGGCTTCTCCATAAAAAGTCATGTTATTTATCTTTCTCCACAATATTATTGCTGAGGGTTTGATTCTGGGTAATTTGCAGGAAATTGTTGGTGGTGCTTTGTTTTGTTTTGCTTTTGTTTTCTGTGAGGCAAGATTTCCCTGTGTAGCCATGGTTGTTCTGGAACTCACTCTGCAGACCATGCTGGCCTTGAACCCACAGAGCTCTTCCTGAGGCATATGCCACCACTGCCTTGGTTGTTTCTAATTAAGTCAAGAATGCTGGAACTCATCTTACCTCAGTTCTTCGGCTACTGAATCCCATGTCAGAGGTAGGAAACTCTATAAGGGGAAAAAAAACAAAACCAAACAAGAATTGGTGTTCTTAGAAGTAGGATGAAGAGTTTGTGGAAGGAGCAATATTCATGCAAAGATACGAGGGAAGTGTTTCAAAGTTTGTTTGTTGTTTTTCTGTACAGTAATACATAGTGGTACGGAGTGATTTCAGAAAACCTCAGGCCGAAGCCACGAGAAGGGGTTGTTGTGGGTTTCTTTATTCGCTGATTTGTCTTTGAGACCTGGTCTCAGGTAAACTGCCCTTGAACTCCCTAGGTGGCTAAGGATGGCCTTGAACTTCCAATCTCCCTGCCTCCACCTTTTGAGTGTTGGGACCCAGCTCAGTACTGGGAACCAAAGCCAGAGCTTCATGAGTGCTGGGCGAACACTCTGGCAATGGGCCACCTCCTACACTAGCTTTTCTTTTCTTGTCCATGAAGTACTCTTCCCTTAGACACACTTAGAATGCATTCCCTCTTTTTCAGTCATTTGTTCAGGTTTCTGCCATTATCATTCTCATTATTATTAGTGCATGTGTGTGTGTGCGTGTGTGTGTGCACAGGTGAAGGCATCTTTGCTCCATGATGTGTTTGGAATAATCAGAAGACACACACAAACATTTAGGCATCATTGTCCTTGTTTTTTGAAATAAGGCTTTTTACTATCCTGGAACTTGTCAAGTTGGTTAGGATCCTCCTGAGTCAGCCGCCCCTGGGCTGCCATTACAAGCACATGTCACCATATCATATATATATATGATACATACATATATATGTATATATATGTATATATATATGTGTATATATATATATATATATATACATATATGTATATATATATACATGGATTCTGGGTTCTGGGGAATTGAACTCAGATCCTTGTGCTTGCAAGCCCTTTACTGACAGTCATCTCTCCAGCCTCACTGTGGAGTTAAATGCTCAACTTAGTATGTTTCCTCTTGTTTGTGGTTTCTAGGCTTTTATAGAGATATATAACATCACACATGAGAACGCAGCGTGAACAGTGAAGTTGTTTAGGGAACAATGGGAGCTAGGAGGAAGGAGAAACGCCGAGAAGAGGGAGTCCAGGGTCTCAGGAGGCGGAGTGTGCTTGCCATACAATACACAGCGGAATGGAAACTTTAAGTGTAAATACATAACCAGCTGGGCTCGGTGGCACAGGCCTGTAATCCCAGCACTCAGGGAGGCAGAGGCAGGTGGGTTTCCATGGGTTCAAGGTCAGCCTGGTCTACAAAGTGAGTCCAGAACAGCCAAAACTACACACAGAGAAATCCAGCCTCGAAAACAACAACACAAAACAAAAATAAATATGTAAACAAATGCTTGACTCACCATCAGATTTTCTTTGCGGCACTTTGAGAACATGAGGGGCCTCCTCCCTGACTGCGGTGCCTGGGTCTAAGCAAGGTCCGGGTGATGAGAGAACCATGTGCCCACCACAGAGCTCCTCAGAGTTTTCTGCTGTCTTCAGAAGTGGAGGCCATGTGGCCAGCGTCTTTACTGTGAGGTCCGCCATCTCTGCTTCATTTGGTGGAGAGACAGGATGCACTTGTGCCCCCTCCTGATGCACTGAAGTCACCTGACTGAAAGGGCAGAGGTGGAAAACTCATTTGTTGGTATAGTTCAGATCTCAGATGGTCCCTCTGAGTTAAAAGTTTGGTCCCTAACGTGTATAATGGTATTGGAGAAGGTGAGTCAAGCATCTGTTTGAGACAGGATCTTGTATAATACATCAACATTGAACTTCTAGGCCTCCTGCCTCCACCTTCCAAGTGTTGGGATTACAGGCATGCACCACCATATCTGGTTTATGCAGAGCTGGGGGATCAAGCTCAGGGCTCTGGGTGAGGGGGGAAAGCACTCTGCCAACTGAGCTGCATCCCTGCTCCATTGTGTGACTCTGAGAGAGACAGAGTCTTGCTATTGTCCAGTTATCTTCCCAGAAAAACAGCCAGCGTTTCCATTAGATTGGCTGTGCCTGCTTGTGGAAGACTATCACTAGCCTGTTTACTAGGAGGGTCATGGAGCCTCAGCTGAGATTCCAGCTACGCAGTTCTATCCTCACCGCATGAGAGCTCAGGAGATGTGTAAAGAACATAAGGGCTGGGGAAGGTGAGCTGACAAGGACTCCATCTGCCTGACTATGGGAGGCCAGCAGGCAAGCCAGCGTCTATACCAGTTGACTTTCCGTGTGGCTTCTTTGGGATATCGTGCTCTTGTGAGCTCCTCCCCCACACTCTGTAAGTAAACTCCATAAACTCTGGTAGAGTTGTATTGTCGTGAGAGCCTTAAAAGGAGGGGGAGGCACTGTTTACATCTTCCCAGGAAGAAAATTTTCCAACAGTGCTGGCTGGCCTGGAACTCGGTATGTAAACAGGCTGACCTCAGGCTTGTAGCTATCTTCCTACCTCTGACTCCTGAATCCCAGTACCTGAAGGAAGGATCCTCCTGGGTATGACAGTGCACGCCTGTAATTCTGGAACTCTGGGGGGGCAGAGGCAGGCATATCTCTGTGAGTTCGAGGCCAGCCTCTTCTACAAAGTGTGTCCAGGATAGCCAAGGCTACACAGAGAAACCCTGTCTGGAAAACAAAAACAAAACTCCTTCCAATCTATTGCAGAGTGATACTTTTGACAATTATAATGAAAACTAGTACAGAATGCAAGAATAAAAAATAAAAACATGCAGGAAATAGGATTCACTTTTTCATCATTCGATGAAAGGATGTAAGATTGTGTTATCAAATTACAACTTTTCAGTGCTCATCCTCATGTTCTGTACTAACATTTCCTTGTACTGGTCTCAGGGCTACAGAACCACATTTCGGATAGCATTTTTCTGGAGTATTGTAGGTATGCTATAGCCCTAGATTCAAACCAGACCTACAGCCTGTTTCTACTGTGTGTGTGTGTGTGTCACGCCTTTGGTGAAGGTGTATTTGCCTATGTGCATTGATGTGGAGGCCAGCTGAGGGCACTGGGTGTCCTGCTCTGACCTTCTTTGTTTTGTTCTTGGAGACACGGTCTTTCACTACACCTGAAGCTAGGCTGGCAGCCAACAAGTCCCCACAGCCTTCTTTTCTCCCCTTTCCCACAGTGCGGAGGTTACAGGCACGCACACCATGCCAACCATTTCCCATAGATGTGAGGGATTTGAACTCTGGCCCTCATGCCTGCACAGCCCGCGTTCTTGCCAGCTGAGCTCCACCACTGCCGCCGACAACATGTGGCTCATGCACCTGAAGTGTCCATATGTCGGCCGGCCCTCTCCTCATAGGATTTGTTGCCACACAACTGTCATATTTTCTACCTAAATTACAGTTCAGTACCTGGGAGCACATTCCTTACTTGATTCCTTTCAAATCTTCTTGGCTTGCTTCGTTCGGAGGATCTGTCGGAAACGTCACAATAATCTCAACACCTGTAGAAAGTCAGGGCAGGAAGAAAGCAAGCAAGGAGCCTCCAGTGGATGAGGAGAACACTTGAGCCTACTTAGACAAGCGTATCTTTTTGTTTGTTTGTTAAGTTTTTCGACACAGAGTTTCTCTGTGTAGCCTTGGCTGTCCTGGACTTGCTTTGTAGACCAGGCTGGCCTCAAACTCACAGAGAAATGCCTGCCTCTGCCTCCCTGAGTGCTGGTACGACAGCCGTGCACCACCGCTGGGCAACAAGTCTATTCTTAATGCTTATAGAAAAAATGTTACCTAGCAGATAGGGCTTAGCCATTTTCTCACCATTTACATGCTATATTAAGTACGGCCCCCACAGCCCACGCAGCTAGGGATAGCTGGGAATGTGGCCCAACGTGAAATTACATAGTCGTTAAAATATCATGAATGTGTGTGTATGTGTAAGTGGAATGCACTGTTCTTGAGTGTGAACTTTGGGGATGAAAATGTCATGTCACAATATCACAGGGTTGGTCTTATGGCAATTTCCAGAGTCAGGGGACAATGGCTTGTTGGGAAGGAGTGTGGCACCATGCCGATGAGCTTAGTGCTCAGGACCCACAGGGCAGAAGCGATGGACTGACTGGCAGGTTGTCCTTTGACTTTCACGTACGGGCTGAGGTGTGTGTGTCCATGCACACACATACATGCACAAAAAAAAATAAGCAAAATATAACCTAAAATGTAAAGAATCTTTCCTATGGAAGGGAGAGTCTTTGACAGATCAGTGTCCTGTTTGGAGACAAGAAGTCCCTGTGCTAGTGGAAATGATGGCACCTGCCTTTCAGAGCCTCTCTCTCTCTGGATGTGTGTGTTCATACATGAACACACACATGAAACTAGACTGTCGTTCCTCAGGCACTGTCCATCTTGATTTTTTTCAAAAATTTATTTATTTGTATTTTATGTACATTGGTGTTTTGCCTGCATGTATGAGGGTGTTGGATTCCCTGGACAGGAGTTATAGACAGTTGTGAGCTGCCATGTGGGTGCTGGGAATTGAACCTGGGTCCTCTGGAAGAGCAGACAGTGCTCTTGACCCCAGCCGTCTCTCCAGCCACCCTCACCCTGATTATTTTCGTGTGTCTTTTGTTTTTTGAAGGGAAAAGGTCTGTCACTGGCCTGAACCTCACAGGCAGGCTAGCGCACACCACTAACCCAGCACTTTTGATATGGGCTCTGAAGATCAAACTCAGGGCCTTATGTTGGTAAATCAGGCACTTTCCCCGTGAGCTGTTCCTCCAGTCCCAGCCATTGTTTTCTTCTGTCTGCTGTTTTCAGAGTTGTACCCCAGACGTCTGAAATTCTGAGAGAACCCCAAACCGTCAGCGCTATCTTTAGGGACAGGCCGTGAACCGGAAGTGGTACCTTCTGTCCTCCGAGGCCAGTCTTCACTCCTCGGAGCTCCTCCTTCCCCAGGTAACTCGGATGGGCTAAAATCATCTTCAAGGTCAAAGTCCTGTGAGAGCACAGAACAAGAGCTCAGAGGGCTCTAGGGAGACGCTCAGGACAAGCCTAGCTGCAAGCGCGCGCACCTGAATCCAGTGCCCACGAGCCGCGTTAAAAAGCACCGTGTTGTGGCACACATTTGTAGCACCAATGTACCAAATGTGGAGACGTGGATCAGAGCACTCCCGCACCTGTGCGCCACAAGAGGGCACTAGATCATATTACAGATGGTTGTGAGCCACCATGTGGGGGCAGGAATTGAACTCAGGACCTCTGGAAGAGCAGCCCATGGTCTTAACCTCTGAGCCATCTCTCCAGCCCCTTAACTATTTCTCTTTAGCCCATTTTATTATGTGGATCCTCTTACCTCACTGCTGCTGATGCTCTGCAGGATGATGCTTTCAGTTTTGGAAACCGTCAAGTCCATTGGGCTAGAGATTGTCTCATGGCAAATATCAAGCAGTGACTCAGTGTGTCTTTCTGTCAAAAAGAAACAACATTGCTCTTTGGTAAGATTCAGCAGTCACAGCAGGGCATGGTGGTGCATACCTGTGATCCCAGCATTCAGGAGACAGAGGGAGGCAGATCTCTGTGAGTTCAAGGCCAGCCTGGTCTACCAAATGAGTCCAGGACAGCCAAGGCCACACAGAGAAACCCTGTCTCAAAAACAAACAAAAATATTCAGCAGTCTCAAGGGAAGATCTGTCTCTAGGTTTTAAAAATCAGCTCCATGTTGGTAATAATTGTCATAGGAAAAAAAAAATGTGAGCTAGGCTGGGGAGATGGCTCAGGAGACAAGGCAAGCATGAAGACCACAGTTTGGAACCCCAGAGTCCACATAAAAGCCAGGCAGCTGTGGTGACTGCTTGTGATTTAAGCACCAAGGAGGCAAAACCAGGGGATGAGCAGGGCAGGTCTAGCTAGTAGGACCAGCGTGCTCCGGGCTTAGTGACTGAACCTGGCTCAGTAAATAAAATGGAATGTAATGTGGAGGAAGATAGCCGATGTTAACCTCTGGCACACACACACACACACACACACACACACACACACACACTGCATACCTACTTCACACACATGCATGCAAAAAAAAAAGTTACCAAGAGCCACATTTTGGCTCAACATAATTATAGCAACTCATTCTTAATGACCTTATTCTCACAGCCACACCCTCCGTGAGGTGCCGGAACACGGAGAACTTTTTACTCTCAGCCATCAACAGGTGTCTCAGGATTGTGGAGCCCTTGTCTTCCAGGTGCTACATAAAGAGGAGAGATGCTTGCCCTTCCCTTTTCATTAAACACAAACCCTTGAGTGGACTTCTGTTGGGGAGTGAATGTGTGAAAATCTCCCAAATAGGTTTTCCTAGAATGCTGAAGATTGTGCTGGCTGATAACTGGCTTTGTTTTCCCTCTGTTGAATTGCCCTGGAAGAGTCTCATGGGTTCAGGATGATCTCCCCATGATATAACAGAAAGACAATCGAAGTGGAAAGTGATGTGGGCATTCAGTCACTTAAATACTTTGAAGGAGGCCTTAGGAGATAACTCAGTTGACAAAGTGCTTTCCTGCAAACATAAGGAGCTGAGTTCCGCTCGAAAACCCCAAATTAAAAGAGGGGCTGGAGAGCTGGCCCAGCAGTTAAGAGCACTGATCACTCTTCTAGAGGATGGGGTTTGACTCCCAGCACCCACACGGAAGCTAACAGCTGTCTGTAACTTCGGTTCCAGGAGGCCTGGTGCCCTCTTTTTGCCTCTGTTGGTTCTAGGCACACATATGGTAAGCAGGCATTCAGGCAAAACACCCATACACTTAAAATTAAAGCAAATAGATCTCAGAATAGGAAAAGGAGTCAGCCATATGGTGATGTGAATTTGTAGTTCCTGTGCTAGCAAGGTGGAGACAGGTGGATTGCTGGGACTAACTAGCCAGTCAGGCTAGCTGAGTAAGCAAATTCTAGGGGAAAAGTGAGAGATCCTAGTTTCCAAAGGCAAGGTTTGGGGCTGGAGAGGTGGCTGGCTGGTTACGAGCATTGGCTGCTATTGCAGAGGACCAGCTTTGTTTTCTAGCGTCTACAGCAGCTCACAATCTCTTGTGACTTCAGGGGCTCTGATGCCCTCTTCTGGCCCCCAGGAGCAGTGCAGGTATGCAGTGTGCACACAGCAAGCAAACACACACTCATACACACAAATTAATAAATTAATTACTTAAAACAAAACCAAAAAAGCAAGATGTATAGTATTGTGGGAAAATGTCAGAGACTGACCTCTGGCCTACATACAGAAACACAGATGCAGACACACACACACACTACCTGAGGATGGTGCACGATTTCTTTGCATTTTGCGAGCATGTAGTCCCGTGCTGTAGAGAACCACCGCTCAATAGAGCGTCACTGATGTGACGTATGTCAGTGAAATGGAGCGCAATGGCACGCGTGGGAGGCAGAGGCAGGCAGAGCTCTGTGAGTTCAGGGCCAGCCCACATACTGAGCGCCAGACTAGCCAGGGATACACAGGTGAGAAACAAGTGGAGCTACTCAACAAATGTACAACAGAAAGACTTCAAACAGGACTTTCACACTGGGGAACGTGTGCCCAGAAAGAAATATTGACCTGGTTTGGGCATCGAACTCATCAGGATGTCCAGTAACTGCTGCTTCCTCTGGCTCTGAATTCGTGACGCGTACTGTATTGCTGACTTTCCACGGAAGTCACAGAGCTTGGGGTCTCTGGGAAGAAAGCAGAAGCACTAAAGGTTATTAGGCCAGAGCTGTTAAGACAGAAGAGCACTGACATCAAATAAACAGAAAGCTCAAGTTTGCTATATAATAATTATTTCAAAACACACCAGACAGAGAGTGACCAATTCTCAAAACTTTAAGCAAGAGGGCTAATGATGTACCCTAATTGGTTGAATGCTGTCTAGTATGCACAAAGCCTATGTCCCATCCCTAATGCCAAGTGAGGCCGGTATGGCAGCTCAGATCTCCAGGCTGGCCTCAAACTCATCTACGTAGCTGAGAATGACCTTGAACTTCTGATCCTGCCTTCATTTCTCACATGCTGAAGCAGCAGATACAAACAACATATGTGGCTGATATGCTGGAGACTGAACACGTCCCTACCTACCAACTGAGCTACAGTCCCAGCAATTATTTAAACCAATAAAAAGCCAGATAGCTTACGAGTAGTGTTCAATTTAAATGACGGTCCATTCCTCAAAACTACAATGAAGGGCCTTTTATAACGATAAAAAATCAATCATCTAGTAACATCAGCAAAAGAGTCGCTGCCTTCCAGCTGGTGACTGGCCACCCCTACTCACGCGTGGTGCCTGAGGAGCTCGGCTAGAACTTCCGCAGGTCTGTAGACTGCTGACACATCCAGACTCTCAAACAGGTCCACATCTCTCACAGCCAGCATCAGAGGGGTCAGGCCATGCAGGTTGGGGAAGTTTATATCCAGGAACTCTTCACATGCCTTTAACAACAAGAGTTTCGGTTTCTGCTGTGTTTTTACATATGGCTACTTAAACCAATCTGCATTTTCATTACTTGGCCAATTTCTCATTTTACCTTTTTTTTTTTCTCCTGGAGTGGGGATTTTTCACTGAGCTATATCTCAGTCTTAATGTCAATATCTTCTTTTCCCCCAGTATGGAGGTGTTTTACTTATATTTTACTTGGAATGTCAGGGTTTTCCCTCCTGTGTGTTTTTGTCTTGCTACTTCATGGTCCGTGCTGCCAGCTGAGACTGTCAGTACAAGGAGACAGACGGCTGGGATGGGAGCAGATTAGCCTGCTGTTTTCTGGGGCCTTGAGCTTCGCATCTGGAGCCTTCACATCTGTTCACCTGCCTGTGAGGTTCACTGTGGCTTTCCCAGTTCTCTGATCACTGGTGAGTTCAGTTTTGCCAGTGTGGCCATGCTTTACCATCACAGTCAGGAATGGGAGGATGACTTGAGCAGCACCTGCTAAAGCCCTGGACTGTGCCTCTCCTAAGCTTTGTTGATGTTATTGAGAGCTTTGGCAGGACATTCATGGTCGCTCTGAAGGTGACAGAGAATGTTCACAGAGAGGTCCTTTTGCTTTGCTTTGTTTGTTTTAAACAAGGTCTCAAATAGGTCCAAACTGACCTTGAACTCTCTATGTAGTTAAGGATGACCTTGAACTTTTGATCCTCCTGCCTCCAACTCTGGGATTACACCACATACCTGGTTTACGCAGTGCTGGAGATTGGGCCCTGGGCACCATTCATGATAGGCATGCTGGAGCCACAGCTCCAGCTCCTCAGTATGGTGTTTCTCAGTGCCTGTGCCAAGGAGCTGGGCGAGCAAAGGCCGCAAGCCTGAAAGAGGCAGCCCTGCACTGCAGTGTTGGTCCCCAGAGCTGGCTGCCTAACAAGCGTGTAGGAGGTTCCAGAGATGCTCTGTTAAATGGTTGACGAAGAGCATCACCTTGACAGGGCTGCAGACACAGCCCAGTCAGTACAGTGCTTGCTGAAGAAGTATGAGCTCTTGCGCACAATAACCTAACTCCGCATAAAAAAGCTGGGGCGGGGGCAGTGTGCCCTCGTGGGGCCAGGGTTAGGGCAGCTGTGACAGCTGGATCCCTGGGCCCCCGCAATCAGCCAGACTAGCCTACTTGCTGAGCTCTGGCCAAGTGAGAGACTGTCTTGAATGAGAGAGAGAGGAGGGAGAGAGAGAGGAGCTATTGAGGAAACCTCCTTATGTTACCCCTGGCCTTACCCACATGTGCCAATATGTGCACATGAAGATATGCAGATACAAACACACAGAGAAAAAAATAACCCGATGAAATAAAGGATGAAAAGGTAAAGGATGCACAGCTTAGCATTTGCACTTGGTATATAACCACAATAAAACAATAATTTGTTTAGCCACGCGCAGTGGTGCACGCCTGCAATCCCAGCACTCGGACAGGCAGTAGCAGGATCGCTGTGAGTTTGAGGCCAGCCTGGCCTATAAAGGAAGTCCAGGACAGCCAGGGCTACACAGAGAAACCCTGTCTTGGAAAACCAAACAACAACCAAAGAATTTGTTTATCTGAAACATAGAAGTTAATGTGCTCACCTCTGCAGATGATGTAGCAAACATAACTGACTACCCTGTATTTTCATTTGCAGAATCTGGTAGCATATCTTAAAAAAATATTGTGTATGTATATACGTATGATGAGAGAGAGAGACAGAGTGTGTGTATGTGTTTGTGTGAATACAGGTGTACATGTACGATCAGAGGATAAATTAAGTTGTTTTTTTACTTCCACTGTGAGTCTTGTCAGGCCCAGCATGAGCCTAATTTTCAGAAAGGATGAAGAGAATTCAGGAGACCAGATCTCATCGCTGCAAAATCGAAAGAGATTTATTTTAACCATTGTGCAATGGGGTCACCCCTGCCGGTCAGCAAAGAGTGGCACCCAGAGACAAAGGCCTTGGGTTTTTTAAAGACAAGGAGTGGGAATTTTGAAGTTGCAGTCTTGGCAATTCAGGATTGGATGAGGAAGCTATAAAGTAAGATAATTGGTTAGTCTTAGGTGCTCAAGCTTGGCCAGTCCTGCCAAGTGTGGATGCAGCTGCAATTAAAGGTGGGGGTGGTTAGCTCATCCTTGAAGATTAGGGCTGCAGGCTTTTGGCCGGAGGTCAGGGTCTACTCAGAAGAAAGATTGAGGCCATCTGGGTTGGTTGCTAAGAAACACTATCTCGAAAAAAGGGTCTGGTCATTCTTTTTGCTGAGTGAAGGTCATTGCTTGCTTGCTTTTTTATATCTGTCCTCACAGATAGGGTCACATTCCTCTGTTCTTTGGAAAGGTACTAAGAGACTTTAGCTTAACTTGGACCTAAAACTCAAAACTATAGGCTTTAGAAGACATATAGGTTACAAAATTAGTCCAATCCTTTCAGTTTTGAACATAGAAATGAGGGTGTCAGGCTTATACAGCAAGATCTTTTACCCACTGAGCCCTCTGCTGGCCCTAGCAACTTTTGTTGACTGACCTTTTGAGCTGCACCGTGCAGGTGGCACCCCTGCGTTCCCCTATAGGGTTGCTGGTGTCACTGCTGAGACAGTATGAAAGTTACTAGTGGCATGACTCACACAGGCCAGGTGCTCCCTGAACGCTGCTGAACGAATGATTCACAAGGGGAAGACATGTCATCTAACCACATTTATGTAGTCCAAGCAGAAGGGATATATGGATATGATTAGCTACTTCAGTAGAAGTAAATGGTTCGCTGGAAAAATGCTTGCTTTGCGTATGTGAGGACCTGAGTTCGGATCTCCAGCATCCTCAGAGAAAGCCCAGCATGCTGGTGGATGCCTGTAATCCCAGCAGTGGGAAGCAAAGCTGGAAGGCTGCCTGGAGCTTTGGCCAACTTGTCTAACCCGCCTGGTGAGCTCCAGGTTCAGTGAGAAACCTTGTCTCAGCAGACAGCAATATGGGCAGTGGTTAATGAAAACACCCAAGAATGAACATCTGGAAAGAAAAAAAGGAAGGAAGGAAGGAAGGAAAGTAAAAATGTAATTCAGTCGGTCAGAATTGAAACGCTGTTGGAAGGCCAAAAGCAACTTGCTAATTTTCGTCTGTTTCTCTTTCTGCCATGGCAATATAGTCTTTACCTCAGCTCCTCTCTGGGAAAATGGAGATAATGATATTACCTCAGCTGTGCGCTGTGGGAATTAGCTAATTTTCCTCCCTCGGTCTCTGAAAAGAAGCTACCTCGTACATCAATGCTTACTGTTATCTAGAGCCAGTATGAGAGTTTGGGGCGAGAGTCGTAGCGCAACAGCACATCAATTTAGCATTTGTTGATTAAGCTTGGGTTTGTATTCCAGGGGTTAAAAAATAATGCGGTTATAAAAACAGAGGTTGGGTTACAATCATAAACGACAAGACTACCACTAAGTAAAAATGGATTGCCTTTGGAAAAATTTCTCAGCCTCAACTCAGGAAAGATGGTGTTTTTAGATTGTTATTGAGTACAACAAAAGAATGGAAAATGACCTTTGGTTTTGTTACAATTGTCCTTGAACTTCACCTGGTTACAATAGCTTTCATTTCTTGGTCTGTTTGTGTCTTTACCATAAGGGATTAGGAAAAAAAAAAAAAAATCCTGTGTCCTAGCAACAATACTGATTTTCTTTCAGTTGGAAAATCACACAGGTCTCATAGTAGCACTAAGGGTCAATGCCACAAGTGAGAAATTGCTAATAACTAACGTCCTTGGCTATGTGTACAAATTTGTAAGCTGCTTTGGGGTGAAGCATCTAAATAAGAGGCTCGATAACCCCCAAAGACAATATTTTAAAAAATATATTCTTGGAGCTAGGGAGATGGCTTCATAATGAACAGCCTGTACTGCTCTTGCAGAGGACCTGAGTTCTGTTCCCAGCGTCCATGCCAGGTTGCTCACCATCACCTGTAACTCCAGGTCCAAAGATCCAGTATCCTGCTGGACTCTAACGCCACTGGACTCATGTGCCCAAATGCACACTCAAACACCCACATAGTTACACAATTAAAAACAGAAATAAAATTTAATATGTATTTTCAGGGTGGGGAAACAGTTGGTAAAGTATTTGCCGTGCAAATATGAGAACCCAAATCTGATGCCCAGAGCTCAAATAAAAATTCAGGCATGTGCTGCATAGTGGTTTCCATTTTGGAGGGGAGCCCATCCTGTTGGAGCTGGACTTGGAGGCAGCTGTGAGACGGTGGGTGTTGTAGCTGAACTCAGTCCTCATAGTAGAGTAGCAAGCACTCCACTGCTGAGCCCATCCCTAAACAGGATGTTAAAGGGAGGTAAAACAACAGGCTATTCTAAAGGGAGGTCAAACATTCTGTCTTTCAGAGAGGCTCATTATCACGAAGCAGGGAGACAGAGTGAGATTCTTTCTCAAAAACAACAACATCAAAAAACAAAACAAAACAAACAAAAAGAGCCAGGCAGTGGTGGCACAAGGCCAGCTCGGTTTACACAGTGAGTTCCAGATCAGCTATGGCTAAACCCTGTCTCTAAAAACAAAATAACAACCAACCAAAAGACAGTAAGTGAACAACTCAAAATAGCCCAAGGAACTCCCTGAAACGGAACAGATTTACTCCCATAAGGACTAGCGAGACTCACTCTCAGGTCTGCAGCACGGAAGATACAGAGTCCAGCTGAACTGCCTGGAAGAAACAGAGAGCAGCCAAGCTAGCTCAAAGAGGTGCAGACCGACTGAGCTAAATGCAGTGGACTTTCTCTCCAACCTGCTGAGCTGCGCAATGAGGGCTCTAGCCCTCACGAGCTGTCACCGAAGGGACTCTGGGTGGCACAAGCATGGCGAGCATGGCTCTGGCAAGCCCTGCCCTTCTCCCCCTTCCCTCTGCCATGCTAAAACCATTCGGTTAGATTCCTAAAGCTAGCCACCGAGATCTAGTACCTTATTTGGTCACTTTCTCCTCCTG